CTGTGTATGGTATGGGCTGGCGCAGTCTTCCTGTGTGAAGCGCCAGGCCCATTTCACACCATGCAACGATGATGATSATGTGTGTTCAGGGCTGCATTGCAACATTGATTGTTCGGATCACTGGTATCTAAGTCTTCCGCTGTGCTATCTTATACTTTGTATTAAAAGGTCGGTTCTTGTTCTGGTCTGCACGTTACAGTATGCAACAGCAAGGCCCTAGTAGTCCGCCATAGCCTCGGCCTTCATGAAGAGGAACGAGAAGGGTGGACATGGCTATGGTGGACCGCATGTTGTGCCTGCAGTTCGGACATTGATTCAGGTTCGGCCATTCATCATYATTATTATTATTATTGTTTGAATAATGAGGGGAGGAGAAMAGGAGGAGGAGAATGGTTGGTGTTCGCTGGTGTGCATCTTCTTCTTCTTCTTCTTCTTTCCCTCTCTGTTCTCTCAAGTTCATTCATTCTTTTGCAATTGGACGGCATTGTACGTTCTCGTCTCGAAATTGGCCGGGATCGTAACAATCGACTACTGAGCTGACTACTTGTTCCCCTACTGAATATGTCAATGTATGGCTGCTGAACAGAGATCAGCGGACAACGGTGAATCACGGGAGGTAGAGTCCACGATAAGTGAAGATGTGACCGAGCTTTTTGACAAGGATTACAACAGCAGTAAGCAACGACTCTCTCTCTCTCTCTCTTCTCTCTCTCTCTCTCTCTCTCTCTCTCTCTCTCTCTCTCTCTGCCGTTGCTGCACCTTCCTTCCCTCATGTGTGACTCCGTGCGCAGTTTATGGAGATTATCCTTTCGTATTATGTACAAGTATTCCAAGCTGATGTAAGGGCCATAGATGCCTGGACAGCTCTCACATTGAGAACTGCAATGGTCTCGGGCAGCCTTTGGAGAATGTTTTGGGCTCTTCTGTGAAGCTTGAAGCTGTGGGTCTCCAAGCGATGCTCTGACGCCATGCTGCCCTTTGTGATCATGGTCGAGTGCAGGTATATGCCCGGAGCGAAGCCCAAGAAGCCCTATATCTGAGGTATCAGTGGGAAAGTATGACAGTGATGTTTCGGACTACGAGACGCCAAGGTCATCGGCAGCGACTTTCGAGAACTGGAGTCTGCATGGGGGTGATAGAGGATGCCGAGGAGGAGGAGGAGGGCCATTATCAAAGCCCGGCGGGTTCCCACACCTGTCAGAGGCTTATGGACGGTTTCAGTCTGCAAGACACCAACGGTTTCAGAGCTGCTCAGAAGAGGAGCTGACTTCACATCAACCTATTCTCCGTGGCTCGAGGGCCGAGGTTGGATGATAAAATTTTCTGGGGCTTAATTCGAGACTTAGCAGCCGACATACGCCTCCCAGCTGGCGAAGGGTTGAATGTCTATCAGACCAGGGCTCACAGCTTGCTGCTCGTTCCTGTAGTGAGCACAAGCTGCAGTGAGGTTGCAGACGCTCTAGGGAAGTTCCGCTTCACAGTGTCCGCTGGGATTCGGTAAAGAGGATTTAGGCCCAAACAGATGGACGATCCGAGAAGATCCAGTGCCACGTGGACCGTGGTCTGAGGTATGGCCACAGTCCACGTGGCACTGTTTTGTTCACAGTCAGTCAGACACACGCAGAGAGAGAGAGAGAGAGAGAGAGAGAGAGAGAGAGAGAGAGAGAGAGAGAGAGAGAGCAATACTCGCACCACACCTTGACCTGCTGTTCACAGGACTAGGCAGAAACTGATGGTCAGAAGGGAATGAGCTTGAGGATGAGGCAAGGCAGAGTGAACAAGAGTGGGCGAATTGTGAGGGGCGAAGGAAAGAAAAGACTCAGGGGAATGCGGGTTGCATGGCTCTTATGTTGAATTAGCTCTTCCCGTGTTGCTGTGTTTACTAGGGAATTTTCAGACAAATAAAACTGAAGAATCGCCATTGCTGTCATTGAATGCAAAATAGGTTGATTGGCATCCGTCTTTTCCCGTCAACTGATGATGAATGACCTCGTGCTGAAAGCCCTTTCATAATTTATATATATTCTTCTTTGGGAGACGATCACAATCATCGGTCATTATGAGGAGGAACTATGTGTTTCGCCTCTTTGACTCCTGTGATGTGAAGATGACGTTCTGTTCATTGCCATAAGTGAAACACGACCGACTTGATGCTGGGAATGAGTGAGCTTGAGAAAGTTGGATCTCTTCTCAGATACCAAGTGTTGATGACCTACAGCTACTTCTTGTAATGTGCTGCCCAACAGGGGTATATGTCTCGAGGAAATGTCGAAGGTAGACATTAACGAGAAGAGAGGAACATAGGTGAAAGGAGGAGCAGTAGAAACATAATTCGTTATCCAGTGTTGAGTACTTCTGGCAGGAGACTGAGAGTGGTGCCATTGTGTATGATCTGTGCGTGCTGAAAATGAGGTGCAGAATTTGAGGGTGTTGTGGCTTTTCTCGCATGCTTTAGTGCATTGTATACAGCGTGAGGCCTTCATGGGTTCCCAGATGCATACTGTGTGATTGGTTGCCGTCAGCGGTCGGCTGGTGGGCAGCTTGCAATGGTTTTGGCAAATTGGCAATTGGAAATTGAGCATGATTTATGCCAGCCTGCGCTTGAGAGGCCAACTGAGAACTCAGACGGAAGGAAGGAAGGAGGACAGGAACAAAGAACGAGAAGCAAGGAAATCGGGAAGGATGGGAGGCGAGCAAAGGTTAGAGAGAGAGGATAGACGAATGAGGGAGGATGGAGAAAAGGACAGAAGCAATGTCAAGAAAAGAGGACGAAAGCACACTGGGAGGGAAGGATGAAGGAAGGGGAGAAGGGATGGAGGAAGGAAGCGAGGGGCCAGAGGAAGAAAGAGGCACAGGCAGGAAGGATGCACAGAAAGGCAAGAAGGCAATTGCTGCTTCAAGTAGTGGGAAGAAAGGATTGGGGAAAGGGAACTACGGTGAGCCGGATGAGAATGATGGACAAATTGCGTACCGGGACACTACCTTGTCAAAAGTTGACAGGTTGAATCGTACTCTCTTTCCACTCCTAGCGTTTTTCTTATTTTCATCACTTTTAATTGGCTTTTCGTATTTTATTGAAGTTCATCATACATACTAAATAGAAGTGCAAAACACCCAAACCCAAAATAAAAAAAGGAGCGCAGCTTGTGCACAATCAATTGTTTTTCAAATCTTTGATAGCTACTTTACCAAAATGGATTAACAAATATAAAATATCAAAAAAGGAAATTTGTTTTAGTAGCCTTTGACTGGCTACCTTAAACAAAAATTCAATTTAAAAAAACAATCTCTTATTATCTTCGAATTAATCTGAGAGCCAATCAGATTGAAGTTTTGACCCCTATCCCTTTTGATGATGCCAGAAGTCGTTTTGATATACGATTTTACCTTGTGTCTGGAGTTTTTGTAGACTTGCAGCTGTGGTGGATCAAGAGGATCTCGAAACCTAGTGTGAAATTCTGTGGCAAGTTACTTACCAGTGTGCTTTAGGGCCTTATTCGCTCGAAGAATCCGTTTCTTAGGGGGTTGTCCAAATGACACTGGCTGGAGTGTCTTTGGCCCGGGCTCAAGCCAACTCTTCCCACACCCTGTGCGAGCGCTATTCTGATCCCCGTTTCTGGAGTAATTTCTATCGGCGCATGAGGGAACTCACTGATATGCGGACTCCGAACTTCTGAATCATGTCTCACATGTGTTACATGCCCAGTTGGACGATGTACATATATAACCGAGGATCCGCAATGTGATAAAAAGGACTGAATGGACAATGCAGTGCTAGTGGAATATCAACAACCAGTGTACATCCTGATACATGCAAAAATGGTGCTCTGTAGCACAGTGGAAGACTTGGATATAAGTCCTGACCTGACGGGGACTGACCTCTTTCACGTAGTGTAAGACAGCACAGCAGAATGCTAGAATACCAATGACTAGCCCAATCAATGCCGCAACGCAGACCAAACATACATCATCCTCATCACAAGGTGTGAAGGGGTCCTTGCGCTACACACAGGAAGAATGCGCCAGGTCCAGATCATGCACAGACGAAGAGGAGGGAATCAGACGAACAAGAGGGGGGGGAGATGGGAATGTCGTCAACACCAAGTCTTCGTTACAAGTCCCAAATAATCCCTCGTCAAAATGTCTGAAGCCCAATGTCGAGTCTGGATCCAAATGTCACCCCGCTMTCTCGCAGTCTGCTGATGCAGTGAAGTCAGGTAGCGAGAGGGTGAGAGGGAGATGGTGGACTGAGAAGAGGAAGAAGAACTCTCTCTCTCTCCCATGTGCCAGGTACTAAACTGTGAAGATGGCGCTGTGCTGCAGGTACCTCGAAGACGAAGCTGGAGCTATGACGCTGCAGGTAAGTCTCCCTGGCCTCCGCCCAATCTCTCTCTCTCTCTCTAGTACTACTCTAGCTCCTTCTAGCGCCCAGCTCTGAAGACTACTGCTAACGCTACTACTACAACTGCAGCACTCCTCCAGAGTGCTGCTGCCGAATCCTGAAGACTACCTCCTGCCTCCTGAACTGCACGTGAAGTGCCTGGGAAGTCCCTATGAACTACTTGCAGCCTGCAGGGCGGGCCAGTCCTATATAGTGCTGGCCCGTCCAGGAGGCTGCTCTTGCCAATGCCGAAATGTGCCAGACCCTGGCGTTGAAGCTCAACCAAGGGTTGTCTTGGAAACAGGCCCAAAATGGCCTGTGCTAAAACCCTGGTCTGGTGCCTGAGTTTCAGGGCAGGTCAATCTCATGAGGGCCTGAAAATGGCCCTCCGTTTCAGGCTAAAAAGACTCGAGCCGGAAAGGCCCTGTTTTAGGCTGAAATGAYACAGGGCCCGTAGGCCCTTGTTTTCAGGCTTTCAGGCTGAGACGACACAGGGCCTGTAGGTCTTTGTTTTCAGGCTTTCGGGCTGAAAACAACACGGGCCTGAAAATGGCCCGTGCAGCCTGTTGCAGGCGCAGCATGTAACACCCCCCCCTCTTTATCAAGTCAAGCCGGGTCGAGGGTGAAGCTGTCGATCTGAAGTTGGAACCTGGACGCGGGTGCGACGTGGAGCCGAAGATACCGGCTTGCCTTGCATCTTGCGTTCGTAGCGTGCGAGAACATCTGGAGCTGTTGCTTGGAGTTCCGCACGGGTCAACCAACGGTCAGCTYTGTGAGTGCAGTAAGCAAAGTGTACCAAGTACTCGATTGGCCTGTTGCCGTAGCGTCACTGGGAGATGATGTCGCCGACCTCTTGAAAACCGTCCATAGAGGGTGGGTCTTGTGATCGTTGCCCGAGAAAATCGTCATGTTCCGTTGGCGTGTAAAGAGTCAACTTGGAGCAATGAAAGACCAGGTAGACGGGTAAGTGGGCGGACACCTGAATGGTGAAGGAAGGTCCTTCGGGTGCATCACCAGCGGATGCCACGATCGGCCAGGGCCCCATCCATTTCAGGAGGAGCTTGCGAGAGATATCTTGTTAAAGGCTGAACTCCGCGGCGAAAACCCAAACGAGATCGCGGGCGTGGAATGGGCAAGGAAGACGCTGGCGATTGGCCTGTTGGCTCATGCATTGCTGCGTCTTAGCCATCTGGTCGCATGCCGTAACAAGTAGCTCTTGCATCCGACGCAAGAAAAGAAGATGGTCGTTGTTCTCGGTCGTTCGTGGAATGATTGTGTCCAACGGAGAAGTGACCAGCGAGCCGTGCTCGAACTCGAAGGGCGACATCCCGATAGTCGGGTGGATGGACGAGTTGTATGCCAACTCGACATCCGGCAGCCGCTCAACCCAATCCTTTTGTTCGGGATGGATGAGAGTGGGAAGGAGAACATGTGCGGTTTGATGCGCCCTCTCCGTTTGGCCGTCGGTTTGGGGGTGGCAAGCCGAACTTGGCTTGAGAGATGAGCCTCATCGTTTGATGAGCGCCAACAAAAAATCGGGCATGAACCGAGTGTCGCGGTTGCAGACGATCTCCTTGGGGTAACCCTTGGTTCGAATCCAACCGGCGTAAARAACTTTGGCCAACTTCGGTGCCTTGGCATGATAGCAGCAAGGCAGAAACATGGCGAACTTGGTGAGTCGGTTGACCACCGTGAGAATCCCATCCATACCGGTTTTGTGCTTGGGAAACGGCCCGGTAATGTCCATGGCAATTGCTTCCCTTTGGCGTACGGGGACGGGTAATGGTCGTAATGAYCGCAACTCGCCGTACGGACGATGGTTGCGGGATTTGCAGTGTCGGCAAACCTCGCATGACTCGCAATAGCGTGTGACATCGCCGAGAAGGCCGGGCCACCAAAATCACTCACGAAGTCGGCCAATCGTGCGATTGACTCCAAAGTGTCCGGTGGCGGGAGCATTGTGGAACTCGCCAAGGAGCCTTGTACGCAAGTGAGAGTCACTCGGTACGCAAAGAAGGTCCTTCCCCTGCGTGTAGACAATCAAGTACCCCTCTTGGATCCGGTAGTGAGAAGGCGCCGGATTAGGAGAGGAGCAATTTGTGTACTTGTCGCGAAACTTGGGGTCGGCTTGGTAGCCGTGGATGCAGTTGTCCTGCAGGTCGTCGTCGATCTCGAAGGTCGAATAGACTGCGGTACAATGATCTGGACGTCGTGAAAGAGCATCCGCAAAACGGTTAGACTTCCCTGGAATGTGATCGGGAAAGAAGCGAATTGGTCGATGAAAGCCATCCAACGAGCGATGGTGCTATTGACGGTGTCTTGGGTCTTGTAGAAGACCAACGGATTGTTGTCCGTTACCCATCGGAATTGACTTCGACCAAGGAGGAATTGTTGCCACCACTTGAGCGCGTGGAGGAAGGCTAGGAGCT